TACCTACACAACTGCTCTTGCCATCTTCCAAGCTTGTTCAATTGTAGTAGCACCACTTTGTGGGCTTCTTCTTGACAGAAACAGGACCAAAAAGACAATGAAAGGTAAAGTGCAATGCTGTTAAGATAAACGTCAAAGGTCATTTGTGTCAATGAAAGATCACCAGCTCAAGTCAAAGGTCATTTGTGTCAGTAAAAGATTACCACCTCAAGTCGTAGGTCACTTTTGTCTGTTTGAGTCAGTGGAAAAGTTTGTAAAACGTTTTGGCATTGCCTTGTTTGGGGGAATGTGGGCTATTGATTAAGGTTTGTGATTCATGATCCAGTGGGTCAGGGGCTCAAATCTAGCTGCTGGTCATATGCTGTGTCCCTGAGCAGGCCACTTTACCCCTAGGTAATTGTCTGTCTCCACCAGGAAGTGTAAATGAGTACAGACATAGGATGAGGAGCAACCTACGATGAATTGATGTCCCATCCATCTAACCATGGGGAAAACTCTGCTGTAAACAAAATTCGCTGACATGATCAACTAATTAGACAGATAGTGCCTAACATGTTTCATCCTCAAGAACAAATCTCTAATCCTGAATTCAGGCATTGTTAATTCCTTTTGAATCTAACACCAGCTGTGGATTGCTGGTCGTGAACTAATTAACAGACCATGCCATCTGCTGACCAAGTATTATTTTTATGCCTTTTTTATCTCGGTTAAAAGTTAACCTTGTGTTGTTAGCTACTGAAAGATTCTCTACAGTGTCAACTAATATTCAAGTTGGGAGTACAAATCTTAATGTGATTTTGCCATGGCATTTTTCTTGTTTTTCTTACTTATTAACAGGTTCTAAGCGAGGGCCATTTGACGATCTGCTGGACAGTCGTAATGTGTTTGTCTTCACAACAGTCCTGTATATTGCTTTGAATGTCACTCTTGTCATCGATGTCATTGAAGTCCGCTATGCGTCCTTCTTACTTCACATTATCACAAGGTCCTTCATGTACTCCCTGGTAGTCACAGGCTGTGCTCTTTTGTAAGTTTGATCCCTCATTTTCAATACTTCCATCTAATCCCACTACATGTACTGGTTTTGTATTTCTGGGGGAGGAGGGTTGAACAACCAAACAGCTTTCATTTGACAAGAAGCTTAATAATTCAGGTGTGTCCCCAGTTCTAAGGATTTGTCAGTTGTTGAACTATATTGCAAGAGAGTTTTTTACCCTAGGAGCTGTCTTGTCAAAAGGATCAGGACTGAAATTTAATGCAAGTTTCACTTGTGTAAGATCCCGAACATATACAGATTGAAGTGTAAGGAGTCAATTCAATCTCCCTGTATTAGCCCAATTTCCACCTTTTCTTGTAAATTTTGGATGACACACGATGCGATGTATGACCCAACCAGACAGAAGACCAGATACAAGACCAGTCACAGGCAACAGGGTAAACCATGCGAAAATAATGCTCTGTTGCAATTCATTTGAATAGCTTTGTGACTTGATATCAGACAGTAGCTGTGTCTTTGCCTTGTGTATGGTCTTGTGATGTCTTAAGAGGTTTTAAGCACCATACTGAACTGGAGAGTCTTTTTGTCCAGACAACAAGCTCTCATTTTCTCTCTCGATTTCCATTAATTAATAGTTTCCCAATCAAGTATTTTGGAAGCACCACTGGACTTGTGGAAAGTGCTGCATCATTGATTGGTTTACTACAGAGGCCCATGTTTGCCATCCAACAGGACTACCTGGACAACGACTCCTTCTGGGTAAGTTCTCAACTGGTCATTTATATAACTTGCTTCTTGAAGGTTGTTTTATTTCTTCTTCTGACGTACAATTTGGCTTTCAAGTTTTAGCAACTTGATCTTGGGTGAGATTTGGTGTCTCAGTTCTGTGATATGGGGACTTGGATACAGAAGTGTTTTGCCTACAATCCTGGACAAAATAGTTTGAACACCTTACGGGAAGCGCGGTGAAAAGATCTCCCCTCTCCTATCCCCTGTTCAATGTTGCGGTCATTTATTGGACCAAGATTAAGCACAACTTACCCAATGAGAAACAACATTGACAGGGGACGAGGGGAGGCATGTTCCAACGAGATTTGTCCAGGATTGCAGCTCCTATGCACTGAATCAGACAGCTGTAATATTGTGGCTGAAATGCTCGCAGCAAAGCTGGAAAGCAAACTCAATTAGAGACCACACAACACTAGAGGTTAGTGATACCTAGCCACTCAATGAGTGATGACACATGACTTCATCAGTGGGCTTTCAATTGAAGATCTTTGCCTCTTCGTCCCAAAAAAACCCTGAGTTTTGATGGGCTTGACTAATTTTCAAATAAAATTATGTCACAGAAGTTCACAAATTTTCTTTTATTGTCTCTCTCGTCCCTCAATTTTTTTCCAGATTTTTATTGGACTGATCGTATTGAATGCAGTGACTTTCATTTTGCCTGTCTACATCCACATGTATGTGAAACGTTCATCCAGAAGGTATGCCGAGGAAAGAGGAAAAAGCCCAAATGAAAATGAAAAAGTAAAACCTATTCAGGTAAATTTAGATCCAGATTAAATGCTTTCAGATGAAGATCAATGGATTTTGGACAGCAAGGGCAATAACATATCATTATACAAGCACCGGAATGCCTCGAATCATTTTATACATCCTAGTTAGACTGTATTCATGTGGCAGCCATCTTGAATTGAAAGTGAGGTTAACTTTTCATTTGCGGAACCTGGGAGTAAAAATTACAGTGACAAAATAAAATTTATTACAAATTTATGGCAAGTTACATTTATAATAATTTCAAATTTGTATCTAAATGTTTTAGGCTGCATTAAACGAAACTAAAAGTGAAGTTCTGAACCCCAAATAGTGTAACCCAGTACCCCATTTGAGATTACATTGAATATGATACATTCAGGGAAGACAGTCTGAAATAGTTTCTCCGCCAATAAGGTCAGTTGTGCTGCATGTTCAGCATACATGCATGTTGCCACAAAAGCTCACATGAGCAGAGACGGATCTAGCTTTCAGGAAACGGGGTTGACGGACGTATTGAAGGGATGCCATGCTAAATCCGGAAATCAACGTAATTGTTTAACTATAGATGATTAGATGGACGGTGCAGTCCTCATCCAGGATTTCTTTTTTTGGGGGGAGGCCTACTCATGTTTGGGTAGGCCTACTCGTGTTTGGGTAGGCCTACTCGTGTTTGGGTAGGCCTACTCGTGTTTGGGGAGGCCTACTCGTGTTTGGGTAGGCCTACTCGTGTTTGGGGAGGCCTACTCGTGTTTGGGTAGGCCTACTTGTGTTTGGGGAGGCCTACTCGTGTTTGGGGAGGCCTACTCGTGTTTGGGTAGGCCTACTCGTGTTTGGGTAGGCCTACTCGTTTTCTGTCATGTCACTGGTAGTTCCATTTAGTCCATGGCTGAATGGGAGGGGGGGTTGCAGATCTGCCTCTCTGAGCCAGTATCATCTGTATATCCCCCCCCTCGATTGGATTCCTTGCCTGTTCACAGGTGTGAAACCTTTTTGTGTTTATTCCACCTGTTGGAGGTCCACATTGTGAAGTTAGGCATTCTGTTCAGTAGTCAAGCCTTTTTTGGTTTTGAATTTTACAGGTATTTACCTCACTGTGTGGTGGTCTTGTGATTAAGGCCCACAAATCACAGCCTAGCAATACATTTATTGGCCCAGTGGTCCAGGCATGATTTTTCTGTACAATTGCAGCAGTGTAGTTTTTTCATAAATTAGACCTTATTATCTACAAATTATTCATTAAGTTTTGTGAAGAAGAATTTTTGCAAGCGTAAATTTTTGAATGAAAGGTTCAAGCAAGTTTTTTGTACAAGCATGTGCACGACATAACTTTAGAAACAGCTCTTGAAAAAATACAGTACACTTTATTACACTTTGTTACTGCACTGCACTTTTGTCAGTTTTCAGTAAGTTTGTCAGGTTGTCATTACTGGTTCTGCTGTCCTGTTGTTTTTCTCAAAATTTGACCTCTGCCTAGGTAATCAGACAGGACTGGTACCCAGAACCCCCTGCCTGGTGTTACAACAGTCCAAAACAATCTAAAAATCTCAGCTCCTCCTACAAGAATGGTGTAGACATGGTGTAGATTACAGTGGAGAAGCAAAAAGGAGAGCTTGTCATGAAGAAGTGTTAAGGCAGGTGGGGTGCTAGGTACTGTGGGACAGTACATCCTTAGCCCCTTGGTAGAGATAGTTCACATGCAGTTACACTCTATGGTTAAGATCATGGAGGAAGAACACATTAGCAGTTACAACTCTGGCACATCAAAGTGCTCGATGATCATTGCTGCCCAGTCAGACGAACAATAGTAAACATTCCAAAAATGTCTGATTACTGCCTGCAACTTAGCTGGACAAGTGGGGCCAGTAATATAGTAGCAATATTTGAGGTGTTTTTGAGGAAATAGAAAGAAAAAAAATCTAACATCAGATTCACTTTTGCCGTTATGATTTTTTTATAAAGATTTTGATGCACTTTTCGATTCTCCATGCAATGTTTGTGATTTTATTTTGTCTCACCAAAACATCAGTCTTTGTAGGAATTTGGCTAAGACTGAGCAACAACATATTGACCCACACAGGACAGTTAAGTTTACCAAAAACAAAATGCGCTGTTTCATCACACGGAGTGATCATGAGATCTCGTAAAATACCTTTTTGTGCAAATTTCATAATACAAATGATTCAAACACAAAATCTTATACATAACCTGGCTATTTATTCCAAAAATACGTCCAGAAGAAAGCGTTCGATAAGGGCAATAACCGCACATGAACACTTCCGGTACTGCAGCCTAGTAAAAGCAACTGCACAAGCATTAAATTTGATGTGTTATCAGGTCATACCAAGCACCATCAATGACATGAATATTCAACTTCCTATACTGCAGGACATGTTTTAAGGATGCAGATTCATGTACCAGCAAAAAATTGCGGCGATGATCATGGAGTACAAAGGGGCTTATGGTTGTGAAACAGGTGGTGTGTAGCAAGCATTTGCTACACTCTGGCTATGGACATACTGGCCATGCCAGAAAGCAGTAACTGGCCAGATGTTATTGCCCGGGCAGTTCAAACTCCTGTGTCTTTCTTCCAGCATAAGATGAATGCGATCTTTAGACTAATTGCACCCTGTAAGTCACATGACCTATCGTGGCTATCCAACATCAACATGCATGGGTATCTCCCATAGGCCATAGCACAGTGTGTCCTAAGTGTAATTTACCATAAATAAAGCAGAGTGCCATACCAAAAAGGGGTTTATTTTTGGACAACACTATTACGCACATGAACAGGTGGACGCCATGTTTGTTAATATTTCATACCCACTACATGTATAGGTTATGTGACTTAGCGGTGCAATTGGTCTTTTGAATAACTGCTCAGCCAGTGAGCTTGCTACACTAATTATAAGGTAACCAAAGAGTTTGCTGGCGTGTCGGTCACATATTTAGAGATGTCAGGGATTGTTTGTTTTTTCTTATTCACCAAAAAGAAAAACCCCGATGGATTGGAGTAAAAGGCAACCAGACAATGTGAACAGTTTCTCACTCCTGGTATATGTGCTCTTGATAATTTTCTTACATTGCAATTTGTGTTGTTAAATTTGTTAATGTTTTTATTGTTTTACACAATGTATATTGTTTATATCCTCACTGCAGAAAAACATTTTATTATACAAGATGTAAATAAAAGATGAACTATTTTATATGTATTTTTTGGAGACCATAATAAAATTCAACTAAGAATATATTTTAACTGTAAATCAACATGTAGACAGGAGTCAAGAATAAAACCAGAGACAAATATTTCTGTTTCATTGCTATTTTATTCTGCTCAATCATCCACTGAAATGCCTTGAATCTTACAGCACCAATTACCACTTTTATTCACCGTCCTCCGTCATCATCCTATCTACTGCATCAGCTAAACTCTGGAATGACACAATGTCTCATATATAGATAAAAACTTGGAAGCTGGAACTTTAGTTTAAAATTATCTAGAATCACAATTTTTAACACATTCATAGTCCTAGATTTTATCCAATCTAACTTCAGTACAACACAACGTGGTTTAAATGGTCTTTGTTTAATTAATAAATAGTATTTTAAAATCTTTGTAACACAGATGATCTGCCTAATTCGGACTCAACATGTTGATATCAACATAATACTGATATAGATCATTTTAATAATGTGCCCAGATTTGTCACTAAAGACTCACAGAGACCAAGACCACTGGGCATAAACCAGGCCAAAGTTCCTAATGTGATCTGAAGTACAAAAATTAGTAAGAGCAACAATGTTTACATTTTTTTTTGGGGAAAATAAATTGAGAAAACCAAAGAAACGAACAAGTAAATGTTTAAATGTTCAAAGAAAATCCAATCAGGGTTTCCAAGTTAACAGGTATATGTACAGAACTTTTTACTGTACATACTATACATGAATCAACCCTGTTTTGAGATAAATTGAAGTAAAAGGCAAGTAAACGGGTCATAGAAAGGAAAAAGGTTATTCCACTTGAGGATTTGTGGACTACATTTTTTCCATCTACAAAGCCAAAGACAACTCTTGGAAGTTACATCTGAGTAAATGGGAAAGTTGAATTAACTTCTTGTATATTTAAAATATAAATCTGTTTTGTTCATTAATATTTTTCTAACATATCATAAGCAATCCACTCGTTTTGTTTTTTTTTGGTATGTGTAAATTGTGGATTATGCCATTTTTCTTCCTTTGGCCAAGTTTGACGTTTGTTCCATCTGATGTTTTCAAATAAATATTTAAATATATATGTATAAGACTAACATGTCATAACTAATGCCTATTTCAAGTTTTATTATTTTGGTATTCACACAGTTAGGCTACCGAACAGGCATGACTGAATCATATTAAGACAGCTATAATAATTTAAAGAAAGTTCAAGATGGCATGAAACAGTTTTCATTTGTACTAAAAAGAATTGTTTTGGTGACATGAGACACCATAAACACACAGAGCAAAATATATATCTTTCCTTTCTTGTAAAAAGACAAAAATCACTGCCGATTTGGGAACTAAAATAGACTTCGTTAGACTGTCATTTCAGATTGTTAACATGTTTAAGCAGTACACAAGAAATATTATGTACAACAAAGGTAGAACTATCGTACATATTGGCAAAGAGCCAACACAAACCATCAAATGAATGAATTGCAATTTTCTCCGGAGCAGTTAGCCCCACTTCAAACTAACAGTTTGAGAAGAATTCCATGCCTTATCACACACTATCACAGGCGAATAACTAGGTGCTGTCTCGCAAAAGGCACTGCGCAGAATTGCTCACAGCGCCGACCTCGATGAACTAGAATCCAAGTACGCACACAGCTAAAGAAACATGCACATGGCTTTTGTTTTTTTCTTTTTGTGGCACTTGCTTTCCATGCCAGCCTTCTCACGACGAGGAGGATTGGTGCGAGATTAGTACATACAGATATCCTTGCAAAGTTCAATACCCTGAAAAGTCACGTCTTTGATATCACAGAGCCATTTACTCATGGTACCATTAACCGGTCACTCTGACATCCCACGCTTCAGACATCTTCGGGGACGGCTGGCAAGGAGACCTTTGAAGGCCGTGACGAGAGGAGCTTTTGCTTGTCTTCATCTGCTTCTGTCTTCTGTTTCCTTCGAAGCTTCTTTGCATAGTACACCATGTAGACAGGCATGCCATAGTTCAAAACTGACATAACCAGCAGGACTACATTAACCTGAAAGTCAGTGATATAGAAAAAGGTCACAAGTTGAATACTTTTTTCCTAAAGAAATTTTTAAGTGAATGTGCACTTGAAACTTTCTACCATGAACACCAAACAGGGCAATCCTGAAACATAAAAGAAAGAGGCTACTCTCATAAATGTACTTGACAGCCATGAATTGTCTATTAACTGGGTTATTACACTTTCCCAGCAGTCCTTAATATCACTTTGAACTACCAAATAAATTTGACTGACAATGAACAAGTATCTGACAGTCCAGGGCATGTAAGAGGAGGAGCTGGAAATGTGATCGACTTCCTGTGAAACATAGACATGTGGATGATAATGATGAACTGGTGAGGAAGTCAAGGCCAGCCCATAACCAAATATCCGGAAGTGAGATGGAGCACTAAGCTGCCCCAAAGGAAAAAACCCTGGCCTGTCTAGACCATAACCAGTGTCGTTAGCTACACAAATGGTCAAAGTATCCCCCCCAAAAAACCTAGCAGCTTTATATTACCTGGATATTTGTATGAAACTAAAGTAAATGTCTTTCAAAAACTAAAAACTTTAAACGAAAAAGTAATACATTGTTTAAAAAAACAAAGAGGCAAGGAGAAAATTTAATTTTCAACTGTGAATCACATTTTTCCAGAAGAAACACAAGTATTGCATTTACCAATTAGACACAACTCAAAGCCCTCCTGTGACAGTTTACTCCCTTTGGTTTAGTAAGCAATATCTGTGGCTCTCTGCAAATAGGCCAAATTATTTCATGGTCCCCAAAAAGAATTCAGAAAAGGGAAGATACTTGGCCATCCGTTGTGAGGATATCCCGGTATACATGTACTTACATAGAAAGGGTTCCCTCCTAAGGGCCCTTGGATGACGACAAAGATGGGATACTGGAAGAGGGTGAAGCAGGCAGAGATGAGCGACTGAAGACCAATCAGACTGCCTGTCTGAGAGGCAGGATACCTGAGCGCAGAGAGATAAAAATATTATTTCGTGAACCTCGAAACCTGTTTTATGTGATCACAATTCAAAACGGAATTCATGGCATGATTTTTATGGCATTTGTTCAAAATCAGTTTGCCTCTTCTAGGTCAAGACTAACTAACATCACTTCACAAAAACATTAATTTCAAAGTCTGAAAAATGAATAAAATCAAGGCCGTGCCAAAACGAAACATTCGACCTTCTCTCTAAATGCAGTTCAAAATAAATTCATCTTGTTGATAATATTTGTTGCTTTTCAGATGTGTGTACTTACACGATTGCATACAACCCACAGCATGCAGAGTGAATGAAGCCCCTGATAATTGTATGAAGGATAAAGCTTACAATCTGTGGACAGTAAACAAAACACAAGAAAAGCAAAGCTAAGTTACACCGAATGCATACCGCTGTGCCAACTAAATTACAGCTTTCTATTGCACAATTTTTGACAGGATTTTTACGGATTCAAACAGAAAAAAAAAACCTTTTGGTAGCTTTGTAAAATTGCTTAAATAATTTTATGAAGCATGAAACACACTTCATATGAAATGCTGTAAATATAAAAATACGTATAGAGAGATATACTTTTGGAGCAGGAATTTTTGTTTGGAATAGAGTTTTGAGACAAGGAAAAGCTTCCTGATGAAGCATACCTGTACTTGAAGACTTGGAATGAGGACAGTGACACCAAACATCATGAGCAATGTGTTGGTGATTCCGAAGGCGTAAGCTCCGTTCAGCAGCTTACGAATCTTCAGACTCATGGGAGGCTTCTCTCCGTCTGTCATGTCTGACCCGGCACTGTCAGTACTCGAAAGCCGTGATTTCGTAGTGGTAGTGGAACCGCGGCTGGGTAGCTTACCCTGCCCCAGGTCAAAACTCTTGGAGCGGGAGAAGTTGCCAAAGATGCTGGGCTTGCCGAAGTCTGGCAGACTGGTTTTGCGTCCATTTGACTTCACAATGTCATTGGTCTCATCAATGAATACGCTATCATCACCAGCCTTGATGGTGATAGACATTGAGCGCTTCGCACTGCTCTTACGACGTTGTTTGCCTTTGAGGATGTCAAGGGTTTCCTTGATCTTATAGTCCATAACCGTGCCAATCAATGGAGATGTTACCAGGCACATCAACTGGAGGATGCCGAAGACGTAAAGGTAGCTGTCGACTATCAGATAAAGAATGTATAAACAGTATAAATTTACAATATATATACAAAACAAATTGTTTATGTAATACATAGTAAATATTTCTAAACAATTTGGTGTTTCATGATCTTCCTGAATTGCTGGCTTTGGAATAACCTCCCATAAAAAATGGGCAAAAAAAGTAATAATTTCTGCTTATCAATCACATTTTTGATTAAAATCAGCATCAATTTATCCACATCTTGCTGCTTACTTCTTCAGTTCCTTAGGTGGCATAACACAGTCTCTGTTAAGTCAAAACATGAGGTCAAAACTTTTTTTGGAAAAGTTTTTCTGTTTTCAGATGAATTCCTGTGGAAAGAAATTGAAGTTTTTATTACATACCTGTATCAGACTCGAAGTTTGTGATTTCGTTCAGCATGGACTGCAGCGATCCAATGAAGAACAGCAATCGCAGCTGCGTGATGCACATGACAATTAAAGACAGGAGGTAGAGTGGAGTGAAAACATTGCCAATCAGAGACATGTCCTTGCTTGACTTCTTGGCTTTCTTCTGGAGATTCTCCAGGTCCAACTTGAGCACCAGGTTGTGCCTGCATGGGGAAAGATGAAGGGGTAAAGAGATGTGGGCATTGCAATGGCTCGTCCGAAGCTGGGAGAGTAACCGCGTCTGCAAGAATTGGCCAAAATATCAAGACACCTTGTTAGCATGCGGTCCCCAGAAACTCCACCTGTTGACACAGAGCCAAGTTCATAGGCAATTGGTTCTTTTGAATATATCAAAGTGTGAACATCTATAGTTGAACTTTAGTCAAGTGTAATCATGGCAGCTCATTGTCCTAGCTCCTGCTAAATATATAACCAGCACCATCCAACCCAGTGGGTCACTTAAAAACGAGCTTACTCATTTAGTTTGCTCTCTATCATATTTAGTCAAAATTTGTGGACAAATTGTTTCTTGATTAAAGTTGAATACAGTCACGGAACTGTCACTTAAATATTAAATGAAAATTTCATGCCTCAAAATTTCACGATGCAGACAAGTCATTCAATACATCTGTTCTGGGAAAATAATTAATAGCAGACTCACTCAGAGGAAAATATCTTGCTCTCTCTTCTTCCTTCCAGCTTGAGCGGGATTTCGGCAGGCGGTTTATCATCATTAACGCTTAGTCTGCGTCCCACTGAGGACACAAGTGAGTAGAACTGCTTGCCTGTGACTTTGTGATCAGTCCTCAATATGTGCCAGTGTATTCTGTGGGGAGAAAAACATGCAAATTCATGAAACAGAAGTGAGTTTTATAATTCTTTCCCTGTTGGAAAAATGACCAGAAGACCCCTTGTTACCGAGAAGGTTGAATTAGACTTGTAAGAGTTCCTCAAAGTAGCCACTCATTGTTAAGTTTCATTTTACTTATCCATCTCAATCAAAGAACACAAAAATTTACAAGCCAAGTGACACTCTTGTCCTCAGTGAAGTTGATTCTTAGTTGTTGTGAATGATTCAAACTACCATATTCAAAAAAAAATCACAAAATATCAACCCAAACTCACCCAAATTTGGCTTCCTCTGGGTCAGGCACGGCCTCTTCAGGAACGTTAATGATGCAATTGATGATGACAAACAAGGTTGCTATGGCAACACCAGTGAAAATGTATTGCCTTGGAATACCGAAATCATAAAACATCTGAAAACAAAGGAAATAAAATCCATTTACATTTCAGATTCTTTGAAAGTCAGTTTACATTTTTGGTTCAAATTTGTCACTTGAGATTGCTTGAGTAAAATAATGTCCTTTACCTTCAAAATAAGAAAGAGGATTGCAGCTGATGCATAGGAGCCTATGCTGAAACTCACGATGGTGGAACGTTTGGAAGGGAACAAGTTGGCCACCTTCAAGGAAATGTAAAAAACAATAAAAAGTCTTTATTTGTGTACAGATATAATTTCTGATAGGTAAAGAGCAGACAAGGCACTTTAAACATGTGTAAGTTTGTAATATTTGGTCAACTTTTCTGATTTTTACCTGGAAAGATGTGAATGTCGTCATGATGCCACCAACACCATTCAGAGCAACGGCAGGGAACAGAAACCAGGATGTCTCGACAGTAGCCCAGCCAAACAACAGACATGAGACAATAAACATTGACCTGTGAAGTCAAAAGACATACAAGAAACATGACATCATGACATAAAAAACTTCTATTCCTCAAATTATTTGCACAACCTAATATATGATGCCACAAAATCAGAAATAGAATTAACAACTTTATTTCTAGAATCATAAGTGGAAGAGGCTTGTCTTAGAAGCTGACTTGAGTGTATTCTCCTGATATACTAGATTTCAAAAAGTTGAAACTTTTGGGAAAATTTCCAGTGAATTTCTTCAGCTGTGCACAATCTGGTCTTTAAGTAATTTCCTTCCATACAGCGACCTCCCAAGTGTTTGCAAAAGTTAACCCATCTCTCAGTTTAACAAGTAGCATCAACCTTTCTTTTGATGATTCTTTCCCCGACCTTGTCAGTGACAAATGAAACATTTTTATTGAGACTGACAATCACTGATCAATTCATTCAACATTTTGAGCCAAACAAAGGCTGCATCCAAGTTTGTTGTCTAGAGCTACATCTAGGTCTTTACTTCGTTGGAAATATTCAGAGAGGTGTAGACAATAGACCTAGCCATAGCTCTGGAAGCCCGTTTTGGACACGGCCAGAGTCCTCAGTTAATTACAGAAATGATCACTCAGATTGTTACAAAAAGAAGCCAAAAATAGCTACAGCTCTTGTATCAGGCAGACAAACACTGGACAATTCAACAGTGCACACCAGAGGTCATTTCGATTTTGAGAACTTTAAGTTGATAAAATAAGTCCCTGCAAAGAGCATCCGTCATGGATGAACCCTCTTATCTGTTGCATGATTTCATTTCCTATCTTAAGGGGCAAATTAAGTATTCAGGTAAATATTTGCAAAGACTTCACTGTCAAAATCTCACTGAGCATTTTCTTTAAGCCTTTAACTTCGACTGACATTTGCAAATTTGAAAAGAACATTTCAAAGTTTTTCCCAGGCACCAAATCCACACCTAGATATGTTCTCTCTGTTACGCAAGCAACCAAACTGATGAGAGAATTGAGCAGGCATTTGTAACATTTTTCTTTGTGATCAACTTCTTATCACTTCTTATCCACTTTTGTGCATGCATGATTAACCTCTCGCTTGAAGTAAATTTTCTCTTTGACATTATAAGTTAATTTTTGAACAGAACTCATCAAATTGTGGTCTTCCTCGTGAATATGGGCACAGTGGTCCCTTTGAATTATTTTCCAAACCGACCACCAGAAAAGAAATGAAGAAATAAATTATTAACCTATTCATCAGGCATTCATTTGGTAATGAACATAAAATTGGTTCAAAGAGGATGAGCTTCAGTAATGGTAGTTAAGTGACGGAACAGAGAAGGTGGCTCCATACTATTGACGTCAGGAAGAACAAAGGCGGGCATTACCAGGAAAGCTTTGTATTCGACTCGGTAAAATGGCTGCGAGTGAATTCAATGACTCTATAAGCTGATTAAGGGCATTGGGAGTCCAGATTTTATTATACACGTCCGTGAGGTGAGAGTAGAAAATAAGTCAATGTTTCTGCTTACGCTCCCAGGATTCGAAGCTTTCTGGAGCCAAACTTGTCCATAGCAAGACCAATAGGGAACGTCAGCCCGCTGAGCAGAAAGGAACCCACAGTAAATGCCAAGTTGAGTTTTTCGTCCTGGCGATCACAGCGAGGATACCCGTTGATGAAAGTAACGTTGCTGGTGGAGTTGTCATTCTCAAAAGCATCCTCTGGACACAAAAACACCAAAGAAATTAACTTTAAAAGTCATTTATGTAATTTGCAGTTGCTTCTACAACACTTTTCCTGTATTAACAATACATTACCAGCTTAGAAATATATGCTACAAAATGGCATGGTAACGGCGACTGTTTTTAAACCAAAAATAAACAGGGACACAACTTACAGTTCTTTTTCGATTATCTTTGCAACCTAAATTAAAGAGCATCCAAAATTGAAGCTTTATCAACATTCCAAAGCCTAATCAAGATACTTAAGTTATATACAAAGTACTCCAAAGAGACGACAGTGATCACAAGGAAGAAAATGTTGACAGTTTATGGACATTTTTTATTGCATTTTAGTAAGCATTTTCAGGGAAAAATTGCTCAATTGATTTTTCCACCTTATTTTAACAAAGCATTTGAACTTCAAATATGGTTGAATTTTAAAATTACTTGTCCAAGAAAGTTGTTAAAATCATCAGAAGGCAGAAAATGAAATTATTTCATTAGAAATATATGAGGACTCAAATTTAATGACCTTATCACTCATTGTTTACTCTTACAATTTATTGTTTCTCTAAATCAAAAATAATTGGAAACCATCAAACAGGATCATGGTATAAAGAGGGAGTTCTTGTATTCAAAAAGAGGAAATGATCCTTCACGAGATCCTTTTTCTCATTATATGTACAATGTACAGTACATGTACTGTACATGTATATATTTATGAGTTGGCTTATCCAGGGTAGTTATTATCACACCACCGTATCATGCATGTATATGTATGCTCGTGCAGGTTCCACCGCCCCGCTCAGCGCTAACTATCCCGCTATTGGCTACTGCTTTGAGCTTCCGTTGCTATGTGGATTGATAAGCCTTCTGTGATTGGTCAGAACAGGGTAGAACATTGCTATGCAGATATCAGGGCATGGTTAATTATTGAAAGATGGGGTCCTTGTTTATCCTGCGTCCTTGCTTATGAAGATGGGATCAGTGTGCGTGGAATGACCCCCAGATGGACGGTCTATGACGTGCCCAAGGTCGGAGAGCGCCAGGGTTAATAACTGACCCTGTAAATTCTCTCCAAGCCAGGAAGTATTTGTTTTGACCTAAAAAATATGGACAAAATATACCAGCAACATTTCTAAAACACTTATTCTTGGCACCTCAGTTTCCGGGTTAAAAATTACCCCTCTAAGAAAATTGTAAGTTATAATCCAGCTGTGTATTGAATATTTACATCTTTACAAACTAATTTACATCTCTTATATTCTTTACCGTTGAAAAATTGTTCAGGGTAACCCATATCAAAGTATGCCAATAAATATATATTTGTGTTATTTTTTAATGTTTGTTGCAGTTTTTTATACGTTTTATGGCACATCAAGTCACCCAACGATGAGCACCTTACTTGACGCGCTGCATAAGTACAATTGCACCTGTAGCTATTTAGTAATGCCCCCTACGGAAAATGGTACAGTCCACGGCTGATTGTATGCAAATAGGATATTGCCCGTATACAGCATGGATATATGTGGCCTGTTGTGGATGTCACTTGTCAATTGACACCACTAGGCCTACAGTTGTTGACTGACAATATTGACGTTTCTTTATCCACAAGGAAAAAATAAAACGCACCCTTAGCTTTAACCATGCATTGACTCTAAAAATATTCGTTATTCTAAAAATGATCACTTATTACTCAGAGCAAAGATGTAAACTTATCATTACAAACGGGCGGTGCGAACACACTGTGAATGGCCTCTTAAATTCCATGGAAATAGTGACTCTTCCTTTAATGTCACTGAATTATTGTACCTGCCTTCAACTTTCAAGTGGTATAAACAGTTCTACCTGACGTCGCATTCAAATGTACGAACGTAACGGTACCCTGCTTCCCCAACAAGCTCAGAACTCAATGTCTTGAAAATGGCACCAGCCTTGCTGGTGGGCTAACAACAAAAGCTACCACTGACGAGCTGGAAAGTACCTTACAACCATGGGGGTAGGGAAGAGATTGAAACCGAGCATGTCTCCGGTGATTATGTAACATATAACCCCTAGATGCAAATCACAACACCAGTGATGTTCCTTGCTCTCTCTCTCTCTCTCTAAATCTGTTGTTGATAAACATGCTCAACCTTGAACACCATGCCGCCACTGGTAGCCAAGAATTTTACTAGTAGTGGGGGCACCAGCATCTGTGTTTTTTTAGGGGGGATTTATGTTAGCCTTGTTCATTATCCATTCTACACAACCACCGTAGTTTGGCTTCATACGTATGGTTGCATACATATCTCCCTGAGGGCACCGGGAATTTGCGAGGGGAGCACGTGCCCCCCCTCCCCATGGCTACACAATTACATACCGCCCCTTCACGTTCATGACAGCACTGTGTACTTCATTACAGTCGAACAATTGAGCTACTAAAGTTCTAACGAACAAAATGCCTAAAGGACTTTTACACCAATCTTCAACAGCCTTCTGCAAAAAGGTTATCACCTACCGTGCCATCAGCACCAAAGCTTCTGGCACGCACAAATGCGAGAAATCACATCTGCGTGTACATTCTTAAATCCCAGAGTAAGTCATTTAACACCCCCAAAAAATCCGGATGCATTCAATTGTAAACGCACGAACGTAACATTCGCAAGTTTTCACAGCCGCCATTCGTGAAGGTAAGACATACGTCAGTTCATCACAGCTTAACTCCTCGATTCTTACTTAGGATTACATTGACAAAAAAGAAACAAACTTACCTGTACAAACATTGCTGTAGAATCCCTCAGACAGTAGAACGGGAAGCAATGAACTCCATCCCAGCAGTACGGCAGAGAAGAAGAGGTTTTCAAATATCATCGTTCCAACCAACCAATACCGCCTCTTCTTGGCTGTCTCTAGCGTTGGTGCCATTTTTGAATTGTTTTCTCCTTTTCTTTAGATGATATCTCTCTTACTTCAACAACGCAGACCCTGAAAAATGGATAGCTTAAGTGAGATTTTCCCTATTTTCTTCAAAACATAAACACTTTTTCTGTGTGGCCGCAGACAAAAATATCATACATATATCAATCCCAAACGTATTCATACCCATTCTAAATTTGGGTAACATCGAATTTACTGCCAAAAGGCTACAGAACTGACAACCAAAGGCTTCGATCTTTGTCCAGGTAAGCTTTTGCAGAGGACCTAGTTTTGTGTGCCTGGGCTGAGCCTCAGTCCACTTGAAATGTTTTAACAAAATAGCGAAGTGCGACATTTTTCAATGAGTATGGATAATTTTGGGCTCAACTGAAAAGGCCTACCATAATACACGAACAAAGCTTCACACCGGCCTTTAATAAAATATCAGTTCAACTCTCTGGTCCAGCTTTTCCCTGGCAAAAGTAGCAGCGATGTAAGCATAAATCATTCTGCATCACCGACAGTCAGTGTGCAACACCGAAGCAGTGAGTGATTTTGGGCATTACACGTGTTTATAGGAATGTCACACGCAGAAGAGCCATGAAAAGTTCAACTTCAACGGCTAGATTATGCTCCCGCGCAACCATGCATTGGGTCCCGAGGATTGCATCATGCCGTCACAATGTATGCGTGTATGATAGTACAAAAGCGCCCATTCACTTATTTTGAACATAGTTAGTACAGGAAGGAACAGTTTTGGCCGCACACTATTTATGTTAAGGGAATACTTAATCACGGATGGCTTCTATGTTTAAGTTACGAGACAAATGATTTTTCTTTCAAAGACTCTTGCAAAATTTACATGGAATTTCGAAAGGTAATTTCATTACTTGCTGACAACTGATGTCAAAAGGGTGCTTTCAGTGAAAATAATTTTTAAGCCTCAAATAAACATTTCATAAACATGAAATCGTCTAACTTAAGTTCCTCTTGGTATCTGAACTGTTTCAAAAAGTTAGCAAATGTTATTTTGATGGAATTGCATAAATTGTTCTAGTTTATTTCGAATTAAATCTTAACAAATTATGAGAACTGCACAAACATGACAAAGGAAGCTAATAGGCCTAGTTGTATTATTACTCCATCCTAATCTATGGTTGGAAAGCGACGCTGCTCATCGTATGAATGATAGATCTAGGAAGGGCTTAGCAACATTAAGACAACTAATTTAAGGTTTTAATACCAGTCATGGATGGCATAATGTCAAATTTATTATCAAGTTAAGGGAATTAAAATCATTACCACCGAACTCCAAATGAGAACAAAGCAATGCTTTGATCAACCTAAATCAAAGTTGCGGCACTTTCTTTCAGAGATTATATCTTGCAATTTTATTGTCCATGGATCCCTGTTGCATGGTTCGAGGCTGGGAGAACATCCGATCATCCAAGAGGAAATTCATTATGATAATGTGCCTTATCGATCACAGGCGTCGAAGAAAAGGATCAGCTGATCGGGCCGGATCGGAAGCCTCTTCGTCCGCTCAAACCAAACTTGTAGCCTTTCAGTTTGTCCAGGCCGATGGAAAAGAATTTGCAAAGAGAATTTAGAAAAAACCTTTCGATTTAAAAAAAATAGGCACATCATTGACGTCTATCGCTATGCCGATGGACGATGCAGTTGGCGTTGGCCAATGATCGGGGATATTACGCAAGAAAAGGCGCAGTCTCCATCCTATTGTAAAATCGCTCGTAAAGACAACGGTGTACATGTACACTGAAATGCAAAAAATCTCAAGATGGGAATTTCCTCTCTTACCTGATCACGCTGTAATATTTTCCGCAGAAGCAGCTGGGCTTGAGGGTTTGCTCAACCACTGCAGTAGCTCCGACAAAAATTTGTGCTGTCGCCTAACCAACTCCCAATATTGAAGGCACCTCATTTGACAAGCAGCAATCCCTTTTATTCGCAGTGGTCGGTCGGTACGTGCTCCTGCTATCAGCTGTTGCCCCATAACCCTCATCCTCCAATCAGCTGTTTGCCAGACGCGACTATTCCGTCACTGAGGAGTGGTTATAAAAATCCCGTCAAATGTGTTTCATAACCTGCGTAGCAATCACCCACGATTCACGATTACGAATAAATCATTCAAATTATTTTGTCTAACTAAGTTAGATAAAGACATTTACTTGATTTTTTAGTATACAGTCTTCAGTATTATAAAAGCGGTCACCCCTTCGTGACTGAATGGTTGTTCCTTTTAAATTCTAATTGCGAAATCCCCACTGCCTGCAGCACTCCTCGCAACACCACCCCGCGATAATGAGATGTAGTAAACAGCGCAGACACGACCATTATTATGTGGGGAATTTTGACGGGGTTTCCCTCTTGATCAGCACAAAGGAAGGGTGCAGAAATCCACTCGAAATGGTCAAAATCATGTTTTCACGGTCTTATTTTCGGATAATTTTCTGGATTGATTTAAACTTCATTTGTTCATTAGCTACACAGTCACTGAAGCGTCTCAAGACTGTACGTCAAATATCTAGCATAGAAAGGAAAAGGCAAAAACACATAATTCTTTGGAACCCCCCTCGTAAGAAAGACGGCTCCAACTGATCGCGCGATCCGTGCATGAAGTCATCGCTGCCGGTTTCTTTTTCGAACAAAGGCCTTGAACTGAATCATTATGACCATTTGGATTGCACCATTTGTACGCGTTCGCAAAACGAGTTTGGACAGCTTACCGTAATTTTCAAATGATGAATTAGAAAGATTATTATGTTTATTATCTCTGAGAGACATTTTAGAGCACAGGGTAACCGCATGGAGATATTACCAAGTTAACTGTCAGAAATGCCAAGACAAGTCCCCGGGTGATTCACTGGGAAAACCCGCTCTCCTATCATAGTATCAGGCTGCGGTTTTTCAACGGAATATTAGTACATGTATGTACCTCGTCGTAATCCCACTGCGTTAAACTTGTTACTTTAGTTTTTGTTCAAAGTGCGAAGTCTTAGGCAATACTGGAGTTACCGTCGCCCAACCACACCTCGACTCCACAATAATAGTGTATTTAGGATGGCTCAATGGAGTAGCCACGGGGAGGGGGGCAAGGGCATGTCCCCCCACAAATTCCTTATTCCCCCAGGTGCCCACCCCCCACTAGTAAAATCCAAGCTACTCAACTGGGAGGACTGACAACGACTGTTTTTTATGTATTTTAGATACACATGAGTATCAGGCCATACAATTCAACATTTAATTACAAACTTCCCAAAGTCTTTGATTCTGAGCCTCCTGCTTGTATAAGCTGTATTTACAAGAGACATAAAAGATGGAGAAAGGTCTTGAATTTAGCTATTTATGAATTTGTTACTGCATGCATATAACGGTCAATAAATAAATTCTACATATTTCTTTTCTATTTAAGTGACGAGTCCCTAAATGTAAACAGAAACCACGGCAACAAAGAACTTTGCACCCTCAAATACTTTTGAAGGTCCAAAGCGTGCGTCAAATATCCCCCATGTACTGCTCTGCAGGTTGTCCAACCCTCCTCCATGGTCCAATCCTTGGCATTGCGCAAGAGTGTGAGGATATCCCACACATGCACAATGTCCTTTTGTATTACTCGCAGACACAAAAGACAAGCGGCTTTTGTTGGGCGTGCGCGTGACCGCGGTCACATGTACATGTACGACGATTAACGGTCATCGATAAATACTTGTTTGTCGTCTACAGTAGAAATCTTGGCGGTTATATGGTAATTCATTGAGTTGAAAATGGTCACATCCAAAAAAGAGCTGGGCCTTTTGGATGCGGTAGAAAGAAAAATCGATGTTGGGGGTCTAGTTCATTTACCTTTCTGCTAAAAGTGTGTACAAAGCCCCCAAAGTAGAGCATCATTCCTCTGGAAAAGCCACAACAGGTCACATGAAAAGATTTTGCCCCAACTGTGCCCCCCACCCCAATATTTGGGTCTGAATTCACCCCTTGCAAGTGACCCAGTCTCTTGTGCGTCCAAGTGTATTTCAAAATAAAACAACTGTGTTGAAATTTCACTTTTTGGCCGAGGTACGTACCTAATCCACTAACTAAAAATCGTTCGAATTATTTTAACAGATCTGTAAAATATACAAACAGCTAACTGTGAAAAGATTTGATAAACTTTGACAAGCAAGTATTTAATAATTTCTGTATGTTTCTTTGCGCCGTTTGTCATGCCCAAGCAAAAGTGTTCGTACATGGAAAACAGGAGTCAACAAGGCTATGCACGATGCCTACTAGGTCAGTTATGGGCTAAGCAAACCATTAACTATGGTCTGAAGTGATTCACTTCAGAGACATATTGTATGCAAATCGAAAGCTCACACGATGCGCACGTTTTCTAAGGAGAAAGTAATCTTTACATGGTTAAAGCTTATTGTCTGTGATTATACAAATAAATACATGTAGGTGCATGACTGACTTAACAAAAATCTTTGCGTTCATTGAGTGTCCTTCACAAAGTTATTCGAACACAAGCCTGTCGTACGAACCACCGTCACACCACGACGACACGGTCTGCACCCATGCAAACGCTCATTATAATTATAGACGTATTTATTAATGGAAGATATTTCCTTCAAAAGAGGGGGCTTTCATTTTATGCATAACCCCCCCCCCCAAAAGAAAGATTAATTAATTGATTTCTGTGTTTCGGAGGGGGCAGCTTCAAGACATGACAGACATCCACCGGGGACTATACCTTACACTTGTGCTAAGCTCTTTGCTTACAGTTGAGGTAAGAAATTTGTACAAAATGACAGAAACAAAATCTTTCCAAAACAGGATGGCAGTGCTGGGGTACCATGAACTGTCTGGATGTTCACAGCTGCATTCTCACATGCATAAATTGGACCCTTCGAAACGTTGGACGCGACAAGTGTGACGGTTAGCTCTAATAAACTTGAGCTTTGATCATCGGTTTGTCTGCTGAAAAAAAAAAGATAGAGATGATCTGAGTGGGCCAAGGTCCTCAAGGTTCATTGACTGTCAGTATATGAATCGCAGTCGCTCTGAAGAAACAAACTTTCATGATTACAAATGATCCATTTTCAGAAAGATTTTACTAAAAAGTCCAATGTTTTAAAGTTTTTCTCTCCTTTCAAACACAGGCTACCCAAGTATTCGAAGAACATACGCGAGTGTTTTAAAATACTCTGTCACGATATGTGAAAAAGAGGGTGGAAAACAAAGTCTTCAAAAGTAAAGGATGTTCAGGGACTGACCTGTTTTATCAGCGCTCGAATAGGACAAAAATCGCGATTTATCTGTTTATCGCTCAAAACAAACCAATAAACTACGGAGTGAGCTTGCACAAAGTGAAGAGCGGTGGAGTCGAAATGGACAATGTGGATTTACTCAAGGGCTTAATGGATACATTATTATCTAAGTTAGTAATAACCGTTAGACTTTACAGTCTGTCAATCATGACGGGATTTGAAGAAGGTCGAGTCAACTGTGCCGCATAAAAAGCCACAATATTGTCTCATTTTAATGGCCAATGCCACTTATTTTCAAAATTATCTTATTAACCTCATCCCACCAAAAAATGCAACAATGGAAGGACTGGAAGTGTTGGGGGTTCGAGAAGTAGAATACAAAGTTTACAGAAACGTACAGTTTGCGTGCTACATGTCGCAAATTTGAGGTTCCGTACAGGCGTGCTATTTTGCCTTCGACGATTTAACGACATAGCATTAGATTTTTCCTCGGCAAAGGAATGCATTTCATTCAAACCTAAAAAACGACAGCAAGCCATGCGTAATTACAAAGGTTTGGTTATTATTGGCCAGTTGTTGTGACGGTCTGATGTTTTTTTCAGGCCTGGGCGGGTGAAAGTTCACGACACTGGACAAACTCTCATCAGGTAAGATTTCACGGTGAACGTCCATCTATTTTTCGGTGGTGGTTCGCACCAAACGCGCAACATCTCCCAGTCAGTTGTGATTTTGTCATTCCAAGCGCAACGAATACCGAATTCTGATGCATCATCAACAAGTTCCCCAAAAGCACCAAAATGAATTACTGGTACGAAAACAATCCGATGCCTTTACTTTCCACATGAACACTTCATCGAGTTCGTGTCAAGCACTTGAAGATAAATTTTATGGTCAAACATAGAGGTATACAATGGTCCATTGTAAAGTCCAATACAAATAAGAGAAAGATTGGATGTTATCTAAATTTCTCTGCTGTCCACAGTTAACCAAACAAATACGTCACAAGTCAACTGTCAACAAAACTCGGGTGATCCGGACTTGTTTTCCCCCTCCAACTAACCAAACCTGGCCTTTGGTCCGTTTGGGACGGGGCCGATATTGACAAAGTTCATTGTTAAAGTCAGTGTGACAAGAAAACCTTTTTTTGGTGATATACAAGGACAGATTTGGAATGGAAATACCCTGTTTGTTTTAAAACTCCTATATAAAAACAGTCCACAAAACTGTTGATATTTTTAATACAAACTTGACTGAGAGGCTCATTACAAACCCAAACTTTCTGATCATTCAGTGAATGATCAAAGGGGAAAAGTATAACGAGACACTTTACTTTAACCTATGATGTCGAGGCACAAAGATTGGCCCAATATTACGTCCACCATTTAATGGAATTTGGTGAAACAGCAACTTCTACGTAGATTAAGTTGAACGTGTTCCAAACCACGTACGTGCGGAGCGTGAACAAAACAAGACGCAAGAGAAATGAAGTGAGTCCACAGTACTGACGGGAGTGGTACCATAAAAGGAACTGATGGGAGTGGTACCATAAAAGGAACCTTGATACTTGTTCAGTTTACAGTACACCATTTTAATTGTGCAATGCCACCCCCCAAAAGAGTTAGCTTTGGTTTTCCAGATGATCCAAACAAGCTAGTGTTCTGCAGACCGTGCACTGCTCGGGGTCTAAGTTCAATCAGAACTTTTTTTAGTTCGCGAGATACTGCAGTTATAAGTGCTGGGTTTCATAATACCGCATTATCAAGTTCAGGCCACGAACTGGAGAGCTTGCAACTTGGAACAACACTAAAAGACCACCCAAATTTATTGAGAGTAACACAAAGTACTTGGTAACACAGCTGTTGTATCAACAAAATAAATCGAGGGTGGAAACTTCATATCGTCAACAGATTTCTGCGCACCGATCAGCTCTAGACTTTTTTTTCCAGTAATGTCAAGATCGTGCTAGTCTCTTTTCCTACCTCCATGGCTAGACCTGTGTTGTGATGGTAATCTACCTATTCAAGAAAAACTAGTTAAGTATGCAACCTTCGCACGTGCACTTGCACGTGGTTGAAACTGCCCGTAGGAATATATGCGATCCCCTTGGCCAATACGGTCCACACGTGGTGGTATTTACATTTAGTCACGTGGGTGAAAAAGGTCTATTGTATTGCAGTAAGTTTAATCAAACAGTGAGGAAAAACTGTACTGAAGCGTTTTCAGAGTGGATCGGTTTAATCTACTTGAAAACGTGTCCATGGGAGAATTGGGCGTTCCCAGTAATTTCTGGTTGTATGGGTAAACACCATTTAAACACGACGAATTACCAATGCAGCTTTCCAGGGCTTCCAAACCTCCCACCTTAAAACTGGCAGCCTCAACGGAAGCAGAACACAATGACCCGACAATACAAAATACAAACACAAAAAGCACACATTCACGATTTCTGTCCCAAAAGTTACACATTTTACTGCATGCCAGCAGATTACTGACCAAAAAAATCCAACAAAGCATTAGTTTGAAATCTGCAATTCCTAAATCTGAATCAACACGGTCATCATTTGGCCTTTCAGGGGAACACACAGACGAGTGTTGTTCTCTCGTCATTGAGGGACGAGAAACCAAATTTGGAAGCACTCAACTATGCAAACAATGGTCTTTTTAAAAACTGACTCTTATTTTCTGAGCTCTCTCAATGTTGCAGGGATCAGCTGTTTTTACCACTGTCAAGGACATATGTCTGCTGCATTTCCACAACAAAAAAAAAGTTGCTGAAAAGGAAAACTGAAATTTCATTTATGGTTCCTCCCCGGAAAAAATATGATTCTAAAGAATGAAAAAAAAAGCCATACAAGAATCATGAACCATGTCAAAAAAAATTGTGCATAATCCTGGGGAAGGTTAGCATATTCCCAACAATGGGGGGGGGGACACATCTTTTTGGAGTAAATCCAAGATATACATGCTGAGGTTATTTTGCAAGGCTGTCATTTCAATAAGTAGACATGGAGTACAAAAAACTACAAAGAAGGCATCACTTTGATGTAAGTTTCAGGAATGAAAGCTTGCAATATGCCCGTACATTAGGAACTGTAGCTCTGCCATTATATGCCCCCCCCCACTTTTTGGACTTCCACTGCTGGGCAATGTTAATATTTTGACCATGATCCTAACACTGTTACAGTTGCTTTGTTTCTACAGTAAATGCTGTAAGGATGAAGACGTACTACCATATCTTCTAATGCTGGAGAAGATAAAGGATAGAAAGACACGCCTACCCACACGCCTCCATCACAAATATCACATATTATGCAATATGACACAATAAGTCGTGATTGGTAACTGGAATGGGCATTTAATGCCACACAACTATTTAATGTTTGCCTCCTCTCAATACGTGTAACCACGTTATATCTCACATTTGTGGCATCGCATACACGTTGAGTATATATTCACCTGGCCCAGGCATCGACATATTTGTGCCTCGTAATATGTGCTATGGAAGCTTTGACAGATGAGCAAGTGCACCAGTTTGAATGCTCTGCCTTTTGTGGACAAAAGAGTTAGGTTTTCAAACCAAGACCTTTCCCGCACAAGCCTTATTTAAAGGACACAAGCATTTCTTCATTGACCCAAGCCTTTTCTAATCCTTGAAAATTCTCTGAGGGATTTGGGAGGATTCTGGAGGATCAAGGCTACACTCAACTTTTACATGAAGGTAGTTGAAGGATTTTGCATGATTTGGGTCGCTTCCTAGCCAAAAAATGCCAAGGGAGTTAGGTTTCAAGTTAAAGTTTTGATTGAAAAAACAACTTCACAAAGTTGCCTTCACTGGGTAAAGAACAAGGAATTCAACATGGCTGCAAGTGACTTACATCCTTCTGACATATCCAATTGACTGCAATAGATAGAAACACAAATAACAGTCTGGCTGCATTTATCTAAATATGCACTGACAATACACATGTGTGCATGGTACCAGACACAAATGGCTGCAACATGGTAAACATCAGCTAGAGACAGCAATCGACCAAAAACTGGCACAGAGTTCACTGATGTGAATATTAATCTTCAGAGCAAGACAAGAGGCTTACTTCTAAACAGCCCAATTTACCAAGGACCAAATGCTCAAGGCTTTAAGCATAAAAGACAGTGTTAACTTATCCATGTTTCCAAAGTACAGGGGAAATTACATGAAAGATTAAAGCAGTTTTACAATAAATCTTTGTGACAGAACTGGTCAGATGGTTTCGTCAGTTCAGCTTGCCTGGCAACAAGGTTGGAAGTCGACAAGATGTCTTCTCATTCATCATCATCATCTTCCTCCTCTTCTTCTTCTTCGAGATTGCTGCCTCCTGACGCCTCCTTTTCTTCCTCGGAACTTGCAGGGTTACTGACAGCTCCTTCAGATGCCTCTGACTTGGCATCCTGCAGAAATAATTCAGGGGATTTGTTGAATTTAAATCACCACCATTAGGATTTACACACAAGCTACTTTTCCGGAAACTGCAGAACTTTACGAACATAACATCATGGACGAGAAATGGAAATATTTTAATTTCATATGGCATTTCCTGCCCCTTGTTCCCTCAATGTCTTTGGGTTCATTTAATTTTAAAACAATGGCTTGGGTGGTTCATCTTTCCCTGTCTATTCTGGCTAGTCTTTTCCTCCAGCCCTTTACCACGTTTGTCTTGTCACCCTTTCCTTCCCCCTGTATCAAGAATCACAGAAAATCAAAGTTTTCTACCCAGTTATGCACAAGTCCTCAGACCACTTTAATCCTAATCAAATAAACGTCTTTTTATTTCTTTACTTTAATGATAACCCTGAATATCATAAAGTTGGCTTTCTGCAGATGCTATAAAAGATCACTGACATGCCATCAAAATTTAGTGTCACCTACTCAATGTTTTTTGACCGCATTTAGACAACATAAGTAACTATATTTGAGGTACCCATACAAAATGGCTACTGCTGTTGAAGTTTTCTGCTTATACCTCAAATACAGCTATTCTAATGTCAAAGGTACCATGGATGCGACCATCAGTTCTCCCAGTCCTATGGTGTGCACTATTCACCAACGCAACATGCTGGCTTTGCAAGGGAAAAAGCAACAAACAACTTGACCCAGGCAAAATACCAGGTCGAGACCTCTGACCCTACCCCAAACCTTGCAGGCGGGATTACTCCTGCCAGCAGGAGACAGTTGCATGACAAGTGTTATCCTAAGAACTGCTGATATGAAGAGAACATCTGTTTGGAACACGCCATGTGACACACAATATTGACTCAACCTATCTTTAAAACCTTCCTAATAGGTCATGCCATAATGATGGTACTGAACACAGGCACAAAAACAAAAAAGCTACATATTGCTTGAGCCCATGTAAAAATTCCTGGCTGCAAATGCTGTCGCACCTATGCTGTATCATAGGTAAAACGCATCTAAGTGTGTTCTAAGTGTTTTATTGATTAATTATTGTGATTGTGTATTCTGAGAAATTTTTTTTAATCATACATGCCATTCTTTAGGACATTAGCAACAACTGAACAATAGCAAATAAATGAGTTATTAATAAATTAATATTGATTAGTAACTGATTAGTAATAAATCTGGTATTTACTTGAGCTGGACGGTTGATGCTGGTTGCAAAACAACAGGACAAGTATTTCAGCACAGCTGAAACTATGGTATTTGTCAATTTTGAATACATAGAACTCATTGAAGAAAACTTAAGATTTTTAATGTATCTTTTTTTGCATAAATTCTAAAATCTAAAATATTCAGAGACAATTCATGCACTTCATTTCTTTAAAATCTGCAAGAGACCTGTCTTGAAAACACACGTTTACCCCATGTAGGCATGTATTTTCACTCAATGACTAAAAAATATTCAAAAGTTACCAACGTTCGGTTGAGATCCAACCACCTGTGCACTACGCATGATTCACAGTCTGCAACAAATGATGAGTTTCTTCTGAAGGTGAGTTATCCAGAGGCTAATATTGTTTTAAACCAAATGCCATAAGACTAGACAGCTCTAACACCTACTGTAGAGTAGGAGACAGAGCAAACTTGACTAATGATCATTTGAATTTTGAGAAAACCCAAAAGCGGTGTCAGAATCCTACTTTGGTTTCATAGTGACCTCTCCGACATGACACAGGAAAAAATTGAGCTGAGACCCTTAATTTGAATGTAAAAAACCACGTAGGCAAACATCTGTGAGATTGGGTTTTAAATTAGAGATGCTATATTGCCAATCAATACGGATTCACAGTTTAAAAAGTCTCCAGGAAAACTGAGCATACATGTACATAAAAAAGGGTAACACTTCTGTACTTTCCCACATTTATTCTCATTATGAATGTTGGAACCTAACACTTTGCAATAGCTTTAGGCAAATCTCAATCAACCACGTTAACAAATTGTTCCTTAAAGATGCAAATAAGAATGACCAGGCGAATTAATGAGAGATGACCACAAGTCAATGTATTCACTACATCAACTATTTAACATTTTTGGCTGACTGAAAATTGTAAGGATGCCCGATAACTGCAATTAAATATTTCTTTTCGAAATACATTTCCAATTTCCATCTTTTCCTGTATTGCTTGTCTGTCTTTTTTCATTTCTGTTTCCTTTTCTTGGGGGAATATGAAATACCATCACAGACATGTTAATTTTATTAATCTAATATTTAATAAGGAATAATTTATCTGCAATTGTTATGTCCGTCCAACAGTAAACAAGTTACTCATAAAAAATAATAAAGGATGAATTATGTAATAATCAAAAAGAAGACAAAGGTAAACTGTCATTAAAAAAACACAATAAAACTTTAGAAATATTACCAGTATAACTATGATATAGTATGAATTTGAAAAAGATAAAAAGGGACCCAGGTTTTGCATAAACAAGCATATAATTGAAAAAAAAGCACAAAATTCTTAAAACAAAAACTAAGCTATACAGAGGTCTTTATTGGTAGGATATGTGGTGATATAAGTCTGACAACCAAAATCTTTAGGTTGTCTTTCATGATGTAGATAAATTTTCATGAAGGAATAAGAATAGATTTTAGTATCCTTCATACTTGTTTGCTTGTAATCCAAGAACCAAAGAAAAATTGTGGGCTCGACTGGGTGACAGTTCTGACAAGTTGATAACAATAAAAATAAATCAGACTTACATGTATACATGCTACAATTCCATTTAGATCATGGCACTTAAAAGCAACGACAGCGAATGAATGATATGGGGAAGGTTAACTTACTAAATGTTAAGGAGCTGGGTTTCATGCCACTTTCTCCTGCAGACAAGACCAGTTCAATGCAACAAATAAATTTCAATGCAACAGACTTTTTCTGGTTTTTTTCTCTTTTAATTTGAGCACAAACGAATTCTGTAAATTTGGCGTCTATAAAAGAGCCTTCCGTTTCCAAATGTATTTCCATAAATTACCGATCAACAACCATTAAAAAAACAACTTCATCTATGAATAGCGGAAATTCCTGTGTAGACTTGATATTTGGAAAAGCAAGTTTGACAAGCTCCTGGCACTTTTAATTACCTGTAATCAATAAGCAGGAAAAGTCACAATAAAAATGCTACGACAGAGACAGGCACTGCATCTGTGCATGACGAAATCACATATGCAGGCACGCACTAATGCTTGATGTATTGTTTGGCTGGAAGAGTGTGGGGATCAGGCAGGAAGAGCATGCTGAATGCCACAGCATACATACCCAGTTGGATGATGCAGTTTGGGATTGCATCAGCTACAAATGCAAATGTGGACAAGAGCTTCCTCGTCCAGCTGTTCATCCGATCAATTGAGAGATATTTGCCTCTTCTCTGAACCACACAGCATACCACACAGCATACCAGTACATTTGAACACTTCTGAAACTTCAATAATCTAGTATGTTACTTTGGAGAAAAAAAAAATGAAATTCCACTGGAAATTTCACCCTCTCAACACTGAGCGGGAAATTGCACGAACAGCCAGAGCAAACTAGTATCGCCTTTTCCTTAAGCAGGCATGATTATTTTTCTGAGAAACAGTACAAAAAAACCACATGGTCATTTCTGAGAAATTTGCAAGATTATGTACATCAGAAAACATAATATTTAAAATGCACTTTTTTCGTGCACGCATTTTCAAAGATTTGTCACACAAAAGTCATTATTTTTGACAAAACATCAGAACTTGCTTCAGCAGCTGTTGCAGCAGTTCAAATATTTCTACAATCAAAGCAATGCAAACTTTACTTCAGCCACAGCTAACAACATGCTTCAGCTACCAGTAGAAGGAGTTTAAATCTCTCAAGAAAAAAATGGCAAGACTTTAAGCCAACCCCCTGCATAGGGGGGCAGGTGTGCATTGACTATCAAATTTCATCACATCACAAATCCTGTTCAACTCCTTGGCAAACAACACTTCCTTTGAAGGACAGATTCTCAGAATAAAAGCTTTGCATTTCAGCTTTAAAGGTCATTCCAGGTGGGACAGCAGTTGCCACTCTTCTAACAGGTTTGTGAAACTCCATGAACTTGATAGGATAGTTTTCAATTCCACCCCACTCTGAACAAATTAACAAGAAAATAACAGAGAGAAATCCTTTGGTAACAGTTCAACAAACCAGGGGGCTGCTCAATTTGGACATTCCTTAACACTTTCCCAGATGTTACCGGAAAGTCCAATCCAGATCCCATTCTTAATGTCAAATTACAAACAATGACAAGTCCCGCAATATTTCAGCTGTTCCCTTGACTGCGTGACAACCATAATTTCGTTTACATGTACACCCAGCGTTTAAATGCACCCAACTCATGACATCACATTTTCAACTTGAAAGCTGAAGCCTTATTTCACAACCGTGTTAAGCATGTACACACGGCGGCCGCTGGTTAGGAAAGATCTTTTATCTATTTCAGGAAGCCATGGAACACAACCTGTGAAGTGTACAATGCCTTATTTGCCTCGTTCTTTGAACTTGGAAGCACTGCATTTTTGAAAGTACGTAACATAAAAGTACAAATTTTTGGTAAAAGTGATCAAGCTTTAAAAAAACAGTGTGCAAGGTAAGAAAGTCTGATTATGACCTGTCAACGATTGGAATCTGCACAGTGGTTGTGCACAGCATGAAGGTAACAATTTAAAATGGTTAAAAAAAGTCCAATAGGACGTCCCAGGATGTTATTAGGACAAGTGCATTTCCATGGTTACCCACAGCCCATCTTGTCTCTGTGACGCATGTGAATCCATGAGTCATGTGTCAGCCTAGAGCAATACATCATGAATGTGCAGCCGCAGCTGGGATCAGTTACATCACGGTTCCTCAGATTATAATTTAGGAATGTTAATGTTGGGCATACATGCACTCCATGTATGAGGGGGAAAATGTAATTACAGATACTT